CGTAAAGACATCATTACAACGTTAATAATGGTACCGTACAATCTTAGCAAAACCCAGAACCGCCCGGGGTGACATTCCTGCTCCCTAAAGACGCTGTCGATGTATTTATTATACACGTCATCGGCGCCCATCGCCGCCAAAGCGTCAAGCGATTCCAAGAACGCAAAAACCCCCTCACGACCATTGTCGGGACATTCTATTTGACCCTTCCGTCTACTAGTGCTGCATCTGCATCCTAAATGATAGTAATAGTACTAAGACACAAAGTTGTTTGTATTGTGTAAGTTTTTTACAGCTTTCCTCTTACTATATGTTATATCTGAAACTTGTTCTGTGGTTTTCGTGTCGATAGTCCGCCATGCCTGTCTGTCCAATGAAATCGCATGTGTTTAAAATTCTCCTTTACTCTATACGTTGCGGTCACAACGGTGGCCTAAACAGTGCAGCTGACACTTTTTTGGCAATATATTTTTTACTTATATGTATTCCACTTGACACTTCGTTTGTCTTTTTTTATTCTCGCTCCTATACACTGTGTTACTACAATACTCTGAAAGTTCCTGGAACATGATGCGATTGTGCGAATTTTGAGATGATACCACGGAAAACCAGCATAGCCCAGAACCGCCTGGGGTAGACATCCGCACTCCTAAAAGGACGTCCAGCCCTCCGAAGCGACAAGCGAGCACGACGATATCTATCGTTTTTTAATTCCTCAGATACGTAAGTCTTCCTCGTCCATTGTTCTGAACCCGCTAGAACCTCTCCAAAGAACGCGAAAACCCACCTAGAACTGACGTCGTAACACACCGGTTAATTGTTATCTTCGATTCAACGCGGTAAAAACTATTTTGATATTTAAAGGGAACTATGAGAATGGTCCTGTGAGAAAGTGATAATAATAATAATAATAATAATTAATAATAATGTTCATTGATCATAAAAGACACAGGATGTGTATATAGCAAGTCATAAGTAAGGTACAAACAGGGGAGACCGGGGCTGGTTGTCACATGGGTTGGTTGTCACAATTGTTAAATCTCAGTAGCTCCGCAAGATATTTACCTGGCGCACTACACATCATTTCTGCGACCGCGCAGAACACTTGTATTCAGTACGAAAGTTGTCGTTGGTAGATTAAGGTCGCCCGCACAAAAATAAACAAATCGCCTAACCTGAGTAAATTTTTCGTTTGCCACATAATTTGTGTTTTCAAGACTACATTTGATAATAAAAAGAACTGTTGAATTTATTTTGCTTTTCAATAATCCGAATACGACTTAACGTAAGAATAGACTTTGAATTTGTTAATTTAGTGACGCTATCTAACCTTAAAAATTAATTATCTAGTGGGGCAGGTTGCCTCAAATTACCAGGGGCCTCTTGTCACATGTGACAACCACCCTCACACTAGACGATTAGCTTTGCACATCATTCTACGTAGGTATATGTATACAATGTATTTTTTTAATATTTTCAGGTTACATAAGCATGGTTCGTAATTTCAAAAGGAAGACTGAGAAGGGCAAAGCGCCGCCTGACGTACTTTTAAGAGCTGCTAGGTTAGTGAGATTAGGATCCTCAATGAGAAAAGTGGCAGCTGGCTTCAATATAAATTACCGTACTTTAGCAAGATACTGTAAGAAAATTCCAGAGTCTGAATTACTTGATGATCGAGTTGTTGCGCCGTCAATTTCAGTTGGCTACATCAAAAATCATTTGAGCCTGAACTTGAAAATCATCTAGTGGATTATGTACTGAAAGCATCTGATATTTATTTTGGATTATCACCCAAGGAAGTACGCGGACTGGCATATGAATTTGCTAATGGTGTTTCCTTGAAAATGCCGGAAAATTGAAAGCTCCATAAAATAGCTGGTCCTGACTGGTTTAGTGCGTTTTTGAAACGTCATCCTGTACTGTCTATTAGCAAACCGGAAGTTTCTTTGGATCATTCGGAACAAAAAAGGCTGTCATTACCTTTCCTCTGCTGACCTTTTTCGAGCTATCGGCGATGTGTCTGAAAAGCCATAAAAATGGGTATACTCAATGCTTAAGAGTCCGGCAAAAAATTACGATTTTTGAGGTTACTAAGTATCATAATTAAAGATGAAACCTAGCTCTACAGGATCTTGAAGATTATTTTAAAGCGATTTTTACCTTGTTTGTTGTGCCAAAATTGACAAACTTTTGGTTTTCGAGTGTACTATATCGCTAGCATCGGCGACATTTAGCGGTCATAGTGATTAATCGGCTATTAAAATGAGCTGGAATAGCTTTACAGATGCGATCACCAGTAGCTATTCACTTCACGGTGGCTGATTCTGACAATAGAAACGACTTCTGCTGCCGTATTTCTCTTCTTTTCCATTGTTGGCCTACCCTGTATGGGGTGGGCAGTATAAGATTACGTTCAATAGATGGTACATAAAGGTTCGACTTTAGCACTAACGATCAATTTAGCCATGAGTGGTGCTTCATACGTTGATCCGGTTGATGCATTGAACCGAAACAAAACACTATTGAAGTTATTTGGATTTTGGGAAGGCGCTGAAAGCAATTCGGTGTTCAAGCAGTTGTGGTACAGACTCTATAGGAGTTTTGTTATCTTTTCTCAGGTTGCATTCCTCTTCTCTGGCTCTTGGTATGTGTACTATACTATGTACTATAATGCTCAATATCACCTAGTAGAACAATGTCCAAATATCTATGCACTCTGCAAGCTACTGCAGGAAAATTGGAGGGCAGGTCTACCACGGGAAAATATAAAAGAGTCATATAAATATGCATCCGTATAATTCCCTTTTCTAAGATACTGAGTGCTCAAAAATTGTTTGTTTGATTCTGGTTGAAGTTGAGTCTCTGATAGTATACAGGAAGAACTTGTGGCCTGTAACGAAGGAATTTGGCTACTCAAAAAGGCTTATGACGGTCACTTAAGCATGTGTAGAATCGTTAAGAGCAGCTTAAGACAAAGACATGCGTATCGCCCCTACTCCTCAATATAGAGAAGGTAGTGAGTACGTTGGACGGTGTACAGGAATGATGAGTTCAATTATCTTGCGGGTCATGGTCAAGGTCATAAGCATGCTTGAACGTATGGTTTTTTGCTCCTTACATTTCCGATGTCAAAAAGGGGCTTTCATTAAAGAAAACAGTTTTGACCTTTAAATGACTCAGAAGGTCATAGTCAAGGTCAAGGTGATCATTAGACGATCCTTTTCAAATCTAGCAACTTCGTTTTGCCGCATTTTTCTTTACGGAACGAATTTTTTGAGATATTTTGTACTTCCCATACTTTTCTAACACCCTCAAATACCCATGGTCATGGGCAAAGAAACACTTGGACGTGAAATTTTTTGATCATTACATTCTCGCGGTTCAAATTAGAGGTTGACTTTCAAATGAGCGTTAAGGTGATCACCATCAGATGACCCTTTTCAAACCTTACAACTTTGTTTTCATTTTTATCTAGGAAACGTATTCTTGAGATACCTGTATATATCCGTATCTTTTGTATTGATATATTTAATAACAAAGTAACATCAAGTAGGTTGACTCTGCACTTCCTACGTAACGCCAGCTTTAGTTCACTAGTTCAGCACAAGTTTAACCCTCTGAGAAAAAATTAGCTACGAACATGTACAATAGAGAAATTAAATGGAACAAGTGAGTCGAACAGGCCCATAGAATTAGTCCATAGAGATTATTTCCTAGCCTTGTCGGTAGTGGCAGCTCCCATGGAAGCGCCGCCGCAATACGAGCAGAATATTCAAGCAGACCGTTACGCCAGGCGCTGGGCCCAGATAGCTGAAAGAGACGCGTACCGAAAATATTCCTCTATCATTTTTAAAGACAAATGTACGGAGAAACCTATGATATGTGAAAGATGACTAATAAATGCGTGGAATTACCGGGGTTGAGAGGGTATACATAACATAAATAAATTGAGATATACCCTCCCCCACCCGCTTGCAAACCCCGCTCTTCAATTTTTTACCCCTAAAAGTTTGTTCAAAAACGTGAAAAAAGCGACGATGGACTGATTTTCAATAACTACAAAGCTTTTTGTCCTTGGAGGAGTGGTAGCCTTGCGTAAAATTTCATCCATATTCAAGTAGTAGTTTCCAAGTTATAGAGGGATGCAAAAACATAAAGTTTCATATTTTGGAGATTTTCGCGATTACAACACTTCCTCGCCCAGTGGCGCAGGAAGTAACAAAGGCTTTATAACGCCTAATTCAAGTATAATTCCCTTTTTTCTAATTGTAATTCACCGACTCCAAGAATCTACTGGTTCCACCATCTTGGATCTGGGCGGAGAGCAGCAAATAAAAATATCATAACCTAATGAAAATAGATCTAATTCTCAAAACCTGTATTTTATGCGAGAGTTTCAAGATTTAGTACATGATTTAGTTAAGTATCAAAACCGAATTGTCGGGGTGCAATTTAGATTCTTCTTAAACTTAATCACATCCCTGCAAACATTCCCTTAAGAATTCCATATTATGGGTTCATTTACAGTTATATAAACTTTTTTATATCTTAGTGTGCTTGTAGGTACCTATTTCCTTGACTACACTCTTTAAGCCAGGTCTAGGACTGACATACTTAAGTTTTCCCCTATCTATATAATGTGCCGTAATTATAGTTCAGTTAATAGCGTTTTAGATATATTTTTGTTTTCTGCGACTTTGGGAGACATTAATGCTTATTTTCGTTAATGCTTGCCGGTGTGATTGTTGAGTGCTGGGTAGGTAAAGCTACAACGCTTTTTTTTCTTAGCAGTTGTGTTTTGAGGTTTTTTTGCAGCGTTTTAGCTTTCTCTACATCCATCCACTACATGCATTTGTTTATATTTTCATGTTTATCCATCCTGTAATTGGCTATGGCTGTCGGATGTAGCTAAATAAATAAATAAATAAATACCCTGTACATATATGTTGTAATGAGGACGAAAGCTATTTCTGAAGGGTTATGTGTGAGGTGCTGCAAACAGTCAATCTAAAAGTTGCTAATGAGAATGTAACGTCAGTCATTCATTTATATTTTTAAGGTGCATCTACGATCGTCGAGACACATTCACTCTACATGACATCAACACGGAATTTTTATTCGTTGCCCATCTGCCTTCTTTCCTTAGTAGGAAGGTATTTGTTGATCCATTTGACCTTCATCGCCGAACCTATGTCATGCTCCATCATCATCGTAGTATTTCAGCATCAGTAAGTGCATGTTCATTTTGTCATGTATCGTTCCATATACCGTATCACCATTCACCATTTTTAGCACTGTACTGTACTTCATAATTTTACTAATGGACATTTTTCTCAACTGCATAAACTATTTGTTAAGCAGCGTAAGAACGACACTAAATTATTTTATACGAGGTGTGTTCAGAGAATAACGGTAATTTTTGCTTTTTTAAATGATAATATAAATTTACGGCGAGCGAGTTGTAAAGTTTAAAATGATAGAGTAGTGGAAGTCAATTAAGCAAAAGAAACGTATTTTCATCCGCCATATTTATTCGTAGAGTTGGCTGATAAAGATAACAATTAGGCAAAGTGCAGGTTCTTTTGAAGGGGCCGTCACAAAGTACGGATGGTAAAGAAATGTAAGACCAAAAACGAAAGCACCTTGTTTTCATAAGCAATTCTCTCTCACATAGCTAACTGTCAATAGCTGTTGGAATAAAGATGGGGGAGAGGAGTGCCTGTCTCTTTTAGTACTTGAGATATTTCTGCTGTGCATGCTCTATGCTCAAGCGAACTCTCAATTGATAATAATCATTAGATTTTCAACGATTTCCCAACTTTTTGCGCAATGTTCATTATACTCAAAATTAACGTGCACCAGTGGCGGAGATACAGGGGATTAGTGGCACTACTTTTCCATATAAAAATAGTACGCTATTGTTTTTTTGAGACGCGCAATTTTTCGAATTTCATAAAACAAATTAGATAATCAAAGCTTTATTTCAATAAGTGTTCAAAAATACCACCATTCTGACGGATACAAATGCGGCATCTTTTTAATAAAAAAAAAAGTATTTCCTCATTTTTGTTCACGACTTGTGATTTAACCTGTATATATACGGGAAAACATTAGTATCTCAATTCTAGGCCTGGCTAACTAAAAAGTCGTGACGCTAAGCTAGGAACAAAGAAGTTAAGTTGTTCTGAGAGGACATTGAAGTCTGTAGTGCCATGGATAAGCTTGTTAAAACACTGAACTGAATTTTTCTTGTGTCTGAACCATTAACTCACTATGAGGACAGCCAATGACAGGATATATCCGATCCTCTTTGTATGGAAGATATTTTAAAAACTTCCTTTGAATGGACTCTAACCAGGGATGCATACTCAGGTTTACTTGTACAGTACATATTTTCAGTGTAAAAGAGTTATGGAGTTCACCAGTATCCCTTACAATAAAGCCAAACGCCTTTGATGCAGTCACAATAACATCTTCAATTTGATAGGAGAAGGAAAGTTTTCTATCAAATGTGACTTAGACAGTCAGATTCTATAGAAAGTTCCATATCGTGGGTATATATAAGAAAATCTATATCAGTAACTTTAGAACTATAATTTAAGAACATAATAAACGACGGAGGTCCCAAATTAGATCCTTTAGGATACCAGACGTAATAATCCTCTTAGATTACTCTCTTTATGCCCTTTGCACACAACACACTGTTTCCTATCATACAAATAATCTGAAAAATAGTAGCAGTGAAACTGAAAGACCAAATCTAGATAACTTATTGAGAAGGATGTAATGGTCTAAGCTGTTAAACACTTCAGAGACATCAGTGTATATTACACTCATTTGAAGTTGTGTATCCATAGATTGACAAACATACTGAGTAAGTAGTTGTGGACCTACCCTCCATATCCTGAAACCGTGTGTCGGAGATAGACCTGTTTACATGAAAATATAGCAAGCACAGTTTGTATACCTATAACTATTCGGAATGTTTTAACAAAATGATAGGTCGATAGCTTTCTACATAATTCTTCCTTTCCTCCTTTTTTGAAATCAGGAGTTACCCTAGATGAGTTCCAAAATGGATGGATTTATTTTTCAGAGAGAGATTGAAAATTAGCATCAGTGGATACGCTAAAATGGATGCACAATCCCTCATAAAAAAATTGGTCATTGGTCATTTCATGAGACGGCCAATTTCCATATGCTGAACTGCCTGGCTATAACCAAATACGACTGAAGGACAGTTCCACCCCAATACATAAAGCAGCGCCAACCATTCTGGAGAAAATACACGGGCAGCATGAAGCGCTTCGAGGTGATCGAGCATTGCTTGGTGTTCATGAACGTGCTTGGCGTGCACCCGGAGAAAGTGGGCAGTTACAGTCAACTGTTTGCCTTTGTTTTTTATCTGATCAATTACGCCATAATGGTTTTTCTTGTAGTGCTACATTTTATTGAAAGCTCAAGAACTATGCTTGATGGGCTACAATGCTTTGCCAACATTTTGGCACTGTATCATGTAAGTCTGTTGAAATCATTTATAATTACTTCAAACCTATAGACTATCCGAAAAAGAATTTTTCGTTGCAAGTGTCTCTAGTTCTTATCAGTTGGTTATTATCCATAAGGCTTATTGTGTATCCCTAGTTACAGACTTGAGACGGAACCATGATATACTTTAGATTTCTTTTACCTTTCTCGATTTCTCAAGTAGGTAAGTTGATAACATGTTTTGCAGTATCTTTTACCTCTTCGCATTTCGCAAAGCTAATATCCCTGATTGCATACAAGCCTTGCACATATCCGTCCTTATTTTTATAATATTAGCGACATCTAAAACATATAAGAGGGTAGGGGAGACCTAGGAGTGTTGTGACAATTTTTACATAATGACACTCAAGAATCATTCCACAGTTATGACTCATGTGAATTTATTTAGCGCCAGTACTTCGGTTTTCAAAAACAATCAGTATTATATTTTCTGAAAAAAATCAACAAAATCAAAGACCACTCCCACTGATACAACTCTCCTACCACCGAGGTAAGATGTGACAGGTACCGAGGTAAGTTGTAACAGCATTGTATTTAATCTATTAGATATAAAAAATACCATTACACATAATACAAATAAATCAAACACGTTTGTTTTACCAAAACAGTACTTTAATCATCTTTTAGTACCTACCAACTAAAACAACATATTATTAACATTCTCATAACAAGTAATTATAATCCTATAATATTATTATAATCAGTACAAAGTCTTAATGTAATCAGATTCACAATTATGGCAAACGTAATGCAGCTCGTCTCCAGTACAATCTACGTGTGCCCAGCCTTTGCATTCCACGCATTGGACCCACTGCTCATTCGATCTGCTGTCTGCATAGGCTTCAAGGCAAACCAAACAACAGCAATTATTTTCTGCTTCTTGTTCATCACTTGTTCTATTCGTCTTATTAGTCTTGTTTGCTTCTTCAGGTTTCTTCTTTTCTTCGCTTAAGACACGCTTCTTAACATTCTTAGACTTCCAAACTGCTCGTGCTTTCTCATTTTTCTGCCATGACTCTGAGATGATTTTTTTATTATATTTTTTGGCTAACTTATATGCAGTGACTCTAGTTTCTTTCGTCGTCAGCCTATAATTAGATGCTGTGCATGTTGACAAATAGTCGCTTAATATATTCTCTTCCTCTTCTGTAAAAATAGTAGGAATGGTATAACCCATAGACGGAGCTTTGCCTTCTGGGTTTGCTCGATAAGCCTCTTTCTTCTTAATATATCTTGACAAAGACATTTAGTTTAGATTGTAAGAGGCCGCAGCATCTCTTAAACTTTTACCTCTTAACCTAAACTCTACAAAGGCCAGATCGTAGAGTTCGCCACTAGCAGTTCCTCTATCAGTCTTTCGTGCATACTTATTTGGCATTCTGAAACAATAAAGTTTGCAGTATACAATTATACACGTTGAGTAGCTACTAACACACCAACAAGCATCTAAAATTAATAAAAAACATTGTGGATATAGTCCAGAAAATGGAGTAAGATAGGAGAGTTGTGACAGGCTGTCACATCTCGCCTGGGTGTTTAAAATGACGACTTGGTACGAATAATAATTCATATTTTCTAAACACGATGCGCACACAAAAAATCAGCGCAACGTTTTGAGACTTGAATAACTATAGAACTTAAGAAAAAATAACACATCAATGCACATATACTAAGACATGATATATATTCAAATAAAATTTTGAAGAAAAACTAACTTCTTCACCTCGTGCGCCGCCGGCAGGTACTCCGTCGAGTAGCACGTGTCGAGAGCGACAAACAAGCGTTGTTGCCAGCTCGCTAACTTCAGTAGGCAGGAAGAAATCGTCCTTGTCACAACATGTTTCAGTCAAGTAGTGGTCAAATACCCGGTGTAGGCTTTGGCACGGTGAGCTGGACCGTTGTGTCACGGTGGCGATACTAAATATATTACATTAATATATTACATATACATTCTTGACTTTGGCCGCAGGTTTTTCATAGAATCTACGACATTTATCGGGATTTTGTGACAGCTACGGGCACGTCATCACCATCAAAGATTCAAACTTTGTTTTGAGCATTGGTCGGCACATAGTAATAATAGAGCCAAGCCTCGTCCCCTACCACGATGCTGTTTACATACCGAGATCACCCCTTATCAAACATTTTCAGCATCTTTCGTCATCAAGTCGTACGACGAGTAGCCTTCTGCTCTTCCACCAGATAGAACAAAGCTTCCTTACGTATGAATGGTTATGGAGAATTGAATGAATTGCTGATGCATGCAAGGTGTAAGGTTTCCTCTATCTGTTGGTATGTCGCTCTCCGGTCTTCGTCAAGCATCTTCCTCACAACAGTAATGTTTTCGTCTGTTACACACGTTCGCGGCCTTGCTTCCCTCTCAGCGTTCTCCAGAGTGAGACCTTACACCTCCATGCATCAGCAGTTCATGTAATTCTGCATGACCATTTACACATCAGGAAACGTTGTTCTCTCTGCGCACCGCACAGGTTGACGAAAGTGCAGAAAACTCATCGTACGACTTGATGCCGAAAGACGCTGACAGTGTTTGGCAAGGGGCAATTTCGGTACGTGAACAGCATCGTGACAGGTGAAGAGACTTGGCTCTATTATTAAGATGTGTCGACTAAGGCTCAAAACAAAATTTGGGCCTTTGGTGAAGAGGACACACCCGTAGCTG